GCCAAACGGTCGAAAATCGGACATGGGTTTATAGGAACTTTTTTGTTCCTTTTAGTGAGTAGAACCCACTGGCGAAGTTAACACGGTCAGTAGAAACTCACCCTGTATATTTAAACCGGCGATAGTCAGGGATAGTCTTGTGCCATTTTATAATGGTGATTGCGAAAGCAAGACGCAAAGAAAATTGTATTCACTTGAATTCAAAAGGTAATTCGGGTGAAATTATCGGTATTCTGTAATTATACCACGAATACTAGAAGAGACCCGGTATGGATTATAAACATAAACAAATGATGTTTTAAAAAAAATAGTACAACACCCCATTGCTGTAACAATTATGGTCATTTCAGCTTTTGTGATTTTGAACTATATACTATCACCGCTTTCCCATGATATAGGATGTTAACAAGATTATGGGAGAAAGTATGTTTCAGAATGCTGATACCGTTTATTTTTACATTTATTTTGTCATTTCTAATGTTTGATATTAAGTAATCGTCCGTGATATTAAATAAATTGAATCACGTATATTGACGCTTTCAATTGGCTGAAGGCCACTGGGGCAGAGCCCTGATGGAATTTCAAATGTGTTTTGTTTTATGGCAAATTTACATGTCACGACCTATCCAACGACACCTTAAACTTGATGATCGGATGTGTAGCAGTTTCAAAACAATAATCACAACATTTGTGTTGGCCAATTATATATTTAAATAATGATGATGTTTATGTGTAAATGTATCCTCGACTAAACAATATTCACAATGCGCAGTATATCGTATCTACATAGGTTAAAATAATATTACTGATTCATTTGAACCTTAATTATGCATCAAGCAGTTTCATTATACGATTAGATAAAAATTTTACTTAGGATTATAGCCTGAAAAAAGTCAAAGCCAAAGTCCTTTATTTTTGTTAACCTGATTTTTGTTTTAAAAAAAAATGTTTTTTTTCGCAAGATAATGACTTTTGGTACCATTTGCCTCCGTTTAATAACTGATCAACGCTGTTTATGGCGAAATAATATTACATTTGGATGTTAAAAATGTAACTGGCCTAAGCGTTTATTTCAAGTTACGGCCTGATTCACGTTGAAGTACAGTGCTACTTTACTAATATTACAAATGAATGTTTGTTTGTTTGTTTGGGGTTCAATCACTCAATAACAATTCATTGGGCACATCGGGATTAGGCTGAAATTTGGCATGATGATAACACTTTCCTGATTAAAATATAGGCTTGTTATTACCTCAAAACTTTTTTCTTTCTTTTTGCCTTTTTGAATATCTCTCGTATGTATTTAGAACAATATGCCTCATTATTAAAAAATCAGGAATGAACCACGAATTATTACTGGGAAAGGTGAACGAAATGCATGTTAGTTGTAAAATGTAGACATGGACACCTGGTGCAAAGTATTTGGCCGATTGTTTAATATAAACAAACCCATAACAGTCAGTACTGGGAACTTTAAAGGAAATATTAGGTAACAGAATACAGGGGTGTCCCGTTAATCACCTCGCACGAATGGACTTAATCTGGCATTTCTTAGATTTTTCTTTTACATCAACAGGCCATTCCAGTTATTGAGGTGTCGGGTCATTTAGGTCAGTTCACTTTCCCGTAGTTGCGAGATAGCGATTGTCCTTTAATTTCCGACCTAAATACTGTTTTCATTTCACGTAGTAATCACAAAAGAGAACCAAACTAATATTCTGCTGTTGATAAAACTATTCTATTCCTTGTATTAATTTATTTTATTTAGTCGTCGGATTATACTTTTTCAAAGATTTTTAGACAAAAACAAAACAATCCAAATCACTGTTTTGAATGATATTGGACACGTTTCTTTAAAATTGTACTAAAACGTCACTTACCAAATACCATAATGTGACGAGATAATACGTTATCTGAAAACAATTGGCGACCTGTTTAGTGTAATCATCTTCCTACCAACTGTCAATTATATCTTTACGTTATAATTTATTTAAAATTAGTGAATAAACGGAACTAGCTGCTGTGCCCGTGATTCGCAACGGGAAGATGTACCAAAAGTCCATACTGCCTAATCCAAACACTTGTTAAGTAGATTGAATTTTTAAACAAATAGCAATCAAATTTTTACAAAAATGTATGCCCTACATTGTAATTACCCTACTGTTTACATTAAAATATATCAATAACATAATTTTTATAACTTATGGTTATAGAATTTTCTTCATTTCAATAATCAATTGCATAAATAAACCTACCACATAGTTGTGTAAATTACATAATGTTTACAATTAACATATGTTCTTCTTCTCATTTTTAATTCCTGACAACAGCTGGAGTTACATAACAATGTCTGTTTCCCATGAATCTTATGGAGAAATATGAACCTGTAAAGGGCCCCAGGGCCTCACCCTAATTATTTCCCTAAAAAGAAAGTTTCCTGCACAACTTCACGTTACGCTCTTTACAAATGACATCAAAAACATGCCAATCGGTTTAGTAGTTTCGGAGGAGTAAATGTCACAGAAAAACCTGCTTGCGTATTAAATAAGTTAAAAATCCCTCACCTCAGAATTTTGATTATTTTGAAAGCCCGTGGAGCAGATACTAGTTCAATATTTGGGGGGGGGGGGTAGTTCTAATCCTCGGAGCGGTAGCTTGATTTTTGTCCAATTTGAGTCCAATCGGTTCAGTAGCTTATAGTTTATCTCATACAAACACACAAACACCACCTCTTCTTTATAATAGTATAGATAGATTTAGTAGATGATAGGATGATAGATGGATAGATAGATGTCATTATTATGTGATTATTGTTATTGTTTATATTTTATTTGTTTACAAGCTCTACACAGATTTAGTTTAGTTAGTAAAGATACTTTTAAATATGAATCAATTATTTCATACAATTTTCAACAGTACATTAGTGGAATGCCCCGAACCCATTGTGCCAAGAGTAAAAGTACGGTATTAATGCTACTTTGATATTATCCGGAGGCCACCCTTATACAGCGTGCTGCAGCGGTTATGTTAGGTTGGGTTATCATAAAAATATGTTTGTAGAACTTTCTTAGTTTCGTTATGGATGGAATTATACCAGATGAGTCATAACATCGCCAAATCCCCTCCAAGTAGGCCAAGGTCAGGTCGTTGACCAATGGCCGGAGCGCGCGCATCACCTGTCACCGCCTGTATCTCAGGTATCGTCACTCATGTTGTATTGTTAGATTCATAATGAAACGAGGAAACCCAACCTAACATAACCGCTACAGCGCGCAGTATTTACTCAGTATCTACTCGGCGGAGTTCGTGTGGCAGCTAGGGGCGGTGACGCATTCAACTCAATCTTGCCTTCTGGGAGGCAGAACTCAAAAACTGCTAATTGCAATTGCAATCATTTCATATTTGGTTCTTTCTAATCATGTTTTTTTTTGTCTTAGGTAAAAAATCCCTCTAGAAAACAAGTGGCCTCCGAATAATACCAAAGTAACGGTACGGTATTTCCTGAAGCATGAAATGGAATTTCAAGCAGAGCATGATAAATTCAATAGAAATCTTGGTTTAAGCTATCTCCTAATGAGATTTTTTGGAATATATCTATCTGGTATGAACTTCTCTGGGCAATACCCTTGACTCAAGAGGTCAAAGTACGTTACCCGGTTGGGTCGAGTCTATAGTTCTGTATCCTTTCTCAATTTCTTCTAAATAGAAAAACAGCGGTGCGTGCTAGTCCACACAAAGTACATTTTAGTCTGTTGTACTCTGTATCAACGATGTATATTTTGTTTTATGTTTTTGGTTGAATGTATTATTATTTTCACCACAATACGGTTTCAAGAGAAATTATAACCGAACAATACATTTTCATAATTTTTGTTTAGGCCATACACACGTGAATTACAATTAATTGATGAAGTTGTTAGGTGACTTATTTTGTAATTCATTGTCATAATGCTGAAAAAGAAAATAAGTATGGGTATTATACCAGGTATACACCTACAAAAAATCCTAAGAAACTAATCACTTATTTTTCAAAATTATTAAAGTTTCATGTTTTTGTCTTCAATAAAAATATGCGAAAACATAACAAATATTGTTATTTTAATTCTAGAATGACCCTAAGTCGTTAATTTGTAGTGAGTTTATCTTACAAAAGTTTTTTTTAAACAATAACCGTTGATTAAAAGGAAAAATTGTCTTGCGTGGATGCGCGTGTACTTTATTTCTATGGCAGATCTTTTTGGGAAAACGAGTCGAAAATTAATGAATTCACAATAACTAATGTCTAGTTAACTTAACAGTAAACTAGATAACACAAGTCCAGGTAAACTGCAAAAAGTGATGCATTTTATAATACACAGACAACAGCGGCTTTTGCCAACAAAGATGTCGGGTTGACGTGTACGCCCCATGTTAACTCTCGTCAAACCGCCACCTCGCATGTAAGCGACAACGTGCCACCACGTCAACCAGCCATCACTATTTTATGAGGTGGCGGGTTGTCGTGTACGCTCAATGTTCGGTGTCGTCAACCCGCCACCTCGCACGTAGACGTCAACCAGCCACCACGTCAACCCGCCACCACACTAAAGAGGTGGCTGGTTGACGTGTATGAACATGTCTAAGCACCACCAGGACAACGTGCCACCACGACAACCCGCCACCACACATTTTTCCGAGGTGGCGGGTTGTCGTGCACGCTAGAGTCAACGTGCCACCCCGACAACGAGCCACCACGTCAACCCGCCACCTCAAACTTCTTCTTCTTTTTGATGGCGGGTTGACTTGGTGGCGGGTTGACGTGGTGGCGCCTTGGCGCGTTCCCGTTTCGTGTTTCGGTTCATTTTCATATTATTGTTTTGTACTCGTTTCGATAGAAGTTGTATTCGTTTCGTAATTCGTTGCGTATCGTATGTATTGTATAGTTAGTTATAGAATGGTTTGAGTTTGAGACTGAGAGTTTGTTTGTATTTATGTTTAATGTTTAATGGCGGTGGTGGTGGTATGTCAACATTAAGACTAAGAGTGGTGTTTACGGAAGTTTTTTAACAACATCATAGTGCTTATTTCACCAAGAATATTACTAAACTAATATTCAGCCATGCCTGCAGTGTTAGAAAGTATTGAAGTTGATAACTTCAAATCATACAAAGGCCAATATACTATTGGCCCTCTCAAAACCTTTACCGCGGTGATTGGACCTAATGGATCAGGTAAATACTAACATTCTTACTATGGTTATTTGTAAATAAAAGTAGTTATCCTTCGCCTTAAAGCTGGAATCGAATAGCCTACTACTACTTTTTTATAGCTAGGCCTAAGAATATTTTCAAATTAATGGGTTCAGTTTTAACGTAGGCCTAGGCCTAGCCTCCAAGCAGTTCAGGCTAAGTTAGCCTAGCCAATAAAGCTTATAACGCTGGTCTAGTTTTTTTGAACGTGGAAAATCCCATAGATTTTACTTACTAGGTAGTACCTAGGTACTTAATCATTGAACATCCCCGATCAAATGCAATCTGTATGTAGGCCTATCAGTTTGTTTAAATGTGCCCTAGCCTATATACGTGCAAGTTAGGCCTATTGGACTTCTGACACCATCAATCCCTTTTGGGTAAAAGATAAAGAATCGGCAATAAGCTAGGTCTAAGTTAATACTTCAGGGCTTCCACCCATCCAGATTCTGTTGGGAAAGTCCCAACTTCGGGTCCGTATGCCCGTATTTAAGCATAGGTAATGTTGAGGTAAATGCACCAGTAGGCCCAACTTAACTTAGTTGACCCTATAACCCTAGATGGCTATTGCACGTAAATTTGACGTATGACAAGTTGTGTGTAACTTAGCGTCTCAACCCCCACCCCCTCAACCGACACTACCCTCCTTCCAGCAGTGCTCTCAGCAGTCATTTGCCTTGTGATGGATGCCTCGGTAGGGTTGTGAGTTATAGACATCCCAAGAACAAAACAACCTGCGCAGAAACAAAAAGATCATGCGGTTCGCGCCGGTAAGTTAGGTGTGGCGTACCATTCAAACCTGCGCGGCTCGAAATGGCCCAGGACTCTTTTGTTTCTGGTATGTCCATAGTGTGTTTCTTTATGTCCTTGCTAGTCGGTTTCTTGGAACGCATGTCAAACTTAAGTGTCAATACCCTTTGTTTTTACTAAAATGGCGGGCTTGTTTATAGTAAAACGGCCGGCTGTAGGCTTACGTCAAATTTATCTATTGATAAGCTACCCTTAGAACTTAGATATAACATACTTGTTGATGTTGATGCTCTGTTTCATGTATTTTGACAATGCCTATTCCTGTAAACAAACTGGTCAACGGCAATAAAGCTTCTTATTCTTATTCTTATTCTTATTCTTAGCATCAAACTGTATGAGGCTACCTTACTAACTTATGCATTGACACTCCTATGTACATAACATTTATGTATTGATACCCTTAGCGCCATACTGTATAACGATTTAGGTCCCTACCCAGACATTTCTGGAAAGCCAGGGATAGGGTAATTATATCTATCTCTGGACCTCCGCTGGCAGTCACGTGACCTCCTCGCTGGTGGCAGCCAGCCAATGCGAACCCCTAGTAGTAGTCACCAGCGGCTGGTGAATTATCATAAGTCTAGGTTTTTTTAACTAATATAATGGTTTTAAATACCTTCAGTCACCAGTTCAAATTAAGTCGGTTGTTGCGACCTTGGTTTCGGGACGAAGTTGTACCGTCTTCAGGCGGGCCAGTTTTGAGTCTTCAGTCCAATGGACGTCGTTGGGTTAAAACTAATAACAGTTCACGACATACAGCACAAACACACACACAAACACATAACGAATAATACCGGTATTTAGGCCTACAGAAAAAACAACATTTTTGTATGTTCACCAGTTGTGACGGGTAATATCCAAGCCAGAACTAACTGGATCGTTCAAGTGGTACCGAGCTCCGTGCAACATCCATCTAATCAATGTTGGTAGCTGTTAGCCGTGGTGTAGTAGTCTGGTGTCTTAGGCTACTCAAATTAACCAGAATTGCAAGCAGATTACGAATACGCAATAATTTCTTTGATCTGACATCAGAAGAGAGATATTTACAAAAACTAGAGGGCCCATGCTGCGTTAAAATAACTATAATATCCAAGAAATAATCAAATTTATGATTTTTAAATTAAGTAATATAGAGTAGCCTATCTTGAGCTTAACTGATTCAAACTTAAAATAACTCAAATTAAAGCCTATAATTTACTGATTATTTTGAGTCTAAAACATATAAAAGACATTAAACAATACTGGAAGCTATTGATTTTTAATCATAGAAAATCCTTATGAAAAATAATTTTTATGTTGTTTGTTCACATTGTGTTTGCTTGAAACTCGTCCAATTTGAATAACAAATATAGCTTAAATGAAAGCCGGTATTTCACTGAAGGTTCTTAGACCAAAATATAAGATTAGATTTTTATAACTGTGAAATACATCTTAAAATGACGTACAAATTTGAAAATGAACCACATTAATTATGTTTTTGGTCGAGTAATACAGTATGTAAATATATGCCGATGCTTGATGTGAAATCTTTCCATGCATGCCTTCAATTTGAGACATCAATCATGAAAATCGGTCGGGTAGAAGAGTCATACGAACTTGGCAAAGAGAAACCAAATTTAACTCCCATAAGAACAACATGGAGAACAAATTTCGTTGACGTATAACCTGAGTGGGATTATAGATAAATACATGCCGATGCTTGATGGCAAATCTGTGCGTGCATACCTTCAATTTGAGACCTCAATTATGAAAATCGGTCGGGTAGAAGAGCCAAACAAACTCGGCAAAGAGAAACCAAATTTAACTCCCATAAGAAAGACATGGGGAGCAAATTTCGTTTACGTATAAATTGAGTGATATTATAGATAATTATATGCCGATGCTTGATGGCTAATCTGTGCGTGCATACCTTCAATTTGAGACCTCAATCATGAAAATCGGTTGGGTAGAAGAGCCAAACGAACTCGGCTAAGAGAAACCAAATTTAACTCTCATTAGAAATACATGGGGAGCAAATTTCATTTAGGTATAAACCGAGTGATACTATAGGCCTAGATAATTATATGCCGATGCTTGATGGCTAATCTGCGGGTGCATAGGCTACCTTCAATTTGAGACCTAAATCATAAAAATCGGTCCCCGGGTAGAAGAACCAAACGAACTCGGCAAAGAGAAACCAAATTTTACTCCCATAAGAAATACATGGGGAGCAAATTTTGTTTACGTACAAACCGAATAATAATATAGATAATTATATGCCGATGCTTGATAGCAAATCTGTGTGTGCATACCTTCAATTTGAGACCTCAATCATGAAAATCGATCAAGTAGAAGAGCCAAATGTAGTTGGAAAAGAAAGCTAATATCCTACTAATATTATAAATGAGAAAGTTTGGATGTATGGATGTATGTATGTTTGTGACAAGTAAACGCGAAAAATACTGGTCGGATCGGGCTGAAATTTGGTGTGATGATAGTTCACATTCCCGATTAACATATAGACGAATTCTTATCTCAGAAGTCCTTTCGGGCTCCGCCCCAGTGGCCCTGGAGTTTCCCATGTTAACCTTATAAGTAATCATATTTAAAAGGAATAAAAGAATTTTGTTAGCTGTTTCAACTACACAAGTTGGTTCTATGATATTAAATAGCATTAAAAAGTTACAAGGTTTACCAACAGGGTGCAGTACTATTAACTTTTTAGCATTTTGTGTCCTCTTCCCGTTGCAAAGCACGGGTGCAACAGCTAGTTTTTTATAGGCTATAAGATGTGGGACGCAAGATAGAAGCACAATTTAGGCCTAGGCTAGGCCTACTTATTGTCCTGAACATTCAATATATATCTAGTTTAACTCAAAGTTTCAGCCACGGAAATTATGAATATATGAATACTGGTTTGTAACCAATAAACAGCTTACTAGCTGAAGACTGGGACAACTGCAGCTGTCAAATAATGCACTGATTTCAAGAACAGTCAATACCTAGCTATCAATTTTGCCTTTGGGTCAGCAAATTCTGTGAGAATGTAGTTTCTGATTGCCTCTTTTGTATCATAAAAAAAAAAAAAAAAAAAAAAACAACTATTGTCTTACAATAAAATCTCTGTAGGTAGGCCTACCTGAGTAAAATAGGATTTTTTTTAGCCAGTGACACTTAGTTTTGTGGGTGTGTTGGAAGAACCTATCCCATCTGCGCCAAAGTATGGAATTTGTTGTTTACATTTAAAGACTAAAATAAAAGCTTTAGCCTAATGATATCTAATGATACCTATCATCATTAAAAGCAGAGTGAAACAGAGCCGAGTTGGAGCAGAGTTGAACAGTTACAAATTCTTATAGTTTTTGGTTTTATATTATTTTGTAGCCTAAGTAGAATCGGGTCAGATATCAAAGTTTTACAATAAAAATGATATTAAGGTATTAATTTTAGTTTTAAAACCCAGGGTCCTCTTAAGTTGTGATTAAATTTCATTATTTTTCAGGTAAATCAAACTTCATGGATGCCATCAGTTTTGTTATGGGAGAAAAGACTTCTTCCTTGAGAGTGAAACGTCTCAGTGACCTGATCCATGGTGCATCAATTAATAAACCAGTCGCTAGAACGTAAGTTACATTCTCCATAATATCACATTCCATTTCAAATAGTTTTTTACAGTTTAAAAATTTACAATGCCGTTTTTATCATTGGTTTGCTTTTATTATCCTGGATAAAGGAAGATTAACTCATCTATATAGTCCAAAATAATATTTAATCCATTGTAGCCTACACTCATACTACACTATCTCTGCTTCAGTGTTTACTATCAGAGCAATTAATAAAAAAAAAAAAACAGGAGTCCTTGTGTAAGGTCCCTATGGATTTTTAAATTTTGAATCTTAAAGATTTAAAGGTGGTAGCCACAGTTTAATAAGACCAGTTCTGCATCAGTATAAAACAGATTTTGTTTAGTTAAATTTAGCACAGTTCAAACACGCTCGGGAAAAATTTTGGACTATTGGCTGTAGTCTGGTGTATTCTGCATCTAACATATCTATTGGTATTTTTTTACTTCATATTTTTTTTGTTACATCTTGTAAATATGGATTTTTTAGACGGTTCTCAGTAGCACGAGACCATCAAAAGTACCGAGTAGATTGGATTAACTAGATTCTATATTGTATTAACCCTTTCCACTCGGATTAGTTGACCCCTTGTTGTCCTATACGCTTGCATTTATTGCCATGCAAAAAAACATGTTGTAAGTTTTGTGTACATATACTGACTAAAATAAATTATTTGTTGTACTTGAGGGCTTGATTCTTATTCAGCATAAAATTGTACACAAGTAAAACAAAATATCAAAATAAATATACCCATAAAATATTTTTTGTGTGGTCATAATATAAAAAAAGCAAAATAAAATGTACAAAATATTTTTTAGGAGGCTTTTTAAAAAACGTTAACACATTTTCAGGATTTGTAAAACACTTTATCAACATTAGATATCTAGTTGCCAATTCAAATCAGCCATTACAAGAAGGATTAGGTGTATTTTTAATGAAAAAATGCATTTTCAAACTTAGATTGTTTGGTGATTTTGGTCGTCATGGTTACTGCACACTTGGTGGACACATGGTGTCATGGGTACACTTCTCTATTCTTTAATCCACAGCTGACTAAATAAACTTACAATTATTTTTCAAGCTACCAAAGACATGTAAAATGAATAAGGAAATCATTAAGTTTGTATTCAACACAAATTCAAAACATGCAAACACTATATAAAAGGGATTTATTAATAAAAAGCCGATGCTGAAAATGTCGCGGCGGCCGCGACATACGAGTGGAACGGACAGACGTGAATGTCGCGGTAGCGGCGACATACGAGTGGAAAGGGTTAAGCACTTTTTTTTACTAAAAGTCTATTTCACCATAACTATTTTTGAGTCAAAGTTTTTCTCTGTCCAAACAATGACGTCACGGTTTTTTAGGCCTTAAATGAAAGATTGGCGGATCATGTAATTTGAATTTGATATCCACACTGTAAAGTTTGTATCCACTGATTGTCATGACATGAAACTAATAGGCTGTATTTTTGTTTTTTAAGGGCTTCTGTAACGGCTGTGTTCAGGATGGAAAACGGATCCGAAAAGAGATTTACCAGAACTGTAGAGGGGACATCATCTGGATACAGAATCAACCGAGAAGTAAGAGACATTTCTCAATAAGTTAATGCACCAACATTGTCATATAAATAATTATTGAGTGGTCGGAAAAACATAGGCTGGAGCTCTTGCTTGTATCCGAACACACCTGGCTTAAGTTACCTAAGGAATTCGATAGACATTGAAATAAAAATAAAAATTTATATTAATGTACAATAGTCCCAACGTTGTTGAGAAAAAAAATTGTTTCAGTTAATTTTCAAAGATAACCTCTTTATTGGGGAGAATGTCTATGATCTACATACAGTCTAGTCTTTAGAACTGAATGTACCATTCATTGATTACAACATATATTTTGTTTCAGGTTGTAACAACTCAGAAGTACATGGAGGATTTAGAAGCAATTGGTATTAATGTGAAAGCCAAAAACTTCCTTGTGTTTCAAGGTGCGGTCGAATCCATTGCCATGAAAAATCCTAAAGAAAGGACTGTTTTGTTTGAGGAGATTAGTGGGTAAGTGTTGGTTGTGATTTTGAATTTTGTATAGTACCTTTTCCTATCTGGCTAAATAAAATAATGATATAACTAAGTCTATTTTAGATTTTTTTTTATTTTAAGGAGGAAAAAATATTATAAATAAGACAATTTAATGAAAAAAAAAATTGTTTTGGTCATTTGAAAAAAAGCGGACAAATTTATAACCTAGTCCAAAATATGGTTCCTTAGATCAGTTGTATCAGATCACTGAATCATGTTTTATGTTATTGTGATCTTTTTTTGTTTAGATCTATCTCTACCTCAAAGTTTCTCAGAAAATGCTGCTAAAATCCTAAAATTTCAAGAAAAAAAGTAAATACTAAATAGCCACATGGGTTCACTTAAAATATATTTAGCAAGTGAAATGTATTTTCAGATCTGGTGTCCTGAAAGCTGAATATGATCGACTGAAAGCTGAAATGTTAAAAGCTGAAGAAGAAACCAACTACACTTATTTGAAAAAGAGAGGAGTTGTGGCGGAGAGGAAAGAGGCAAAACTCGAGAAAGAGGAAGCCGAGAAGTATCAGAGACTAAGAGAAGAGCTTGTACGTACAATCTAATTAATTTTGTTTGATGTTACTGCTGTTAGTGTTAAATATTCAAAATTTTAGACAAAATTCGTCGCACATTACTAGTGGATAAGTCAATTGATTTGATTTTTAGTTCAAAGATTGATTGACAATTTGGGGAATAGTTCAAGGTTATTTTTTTATGTTGATATTTTCCTGAACATAATAATCTACTTTTAAATCTGGTTTAACTTAAAAAAAACCTATCTAACATATTTTTTAGGCAGTCAGTAAAAGTCAGATTGAACAATCTTGAATTAAAACCCTTCTTAACAGAAAATCATATCTTTGTTTTAGTTAGGTAATTGGCAGTTTGGTTAATATTTTTGTGTATTTATAACCTAATGATATAAATTTGTATTTGTTACAGGTTGAGAAAGAAATTGAGTATCAACTATTCAGGCTCTACTACAATGAAAGCGATATAAAACATTACGAGAACGAATTGGAAAGGAAAAGACGAGATGTGGAAAAGTTAGAGAAAAAGAAAGAGAAGGCAGAAGAACAACTGAAAGACAAGAAGAAAGATCAAGGCAAACTTAACAAGGAGTTGTCAAAAATTGAGCAAGAAATTAGAGAAGCGGTAAGGCTTTTTTGTGTTTGGATTTTAATCTCGGTTACAGTTTGTACTAAAATTTAAAATTCTAATTAGATTTTTCTAAATTCTGAAAATCTTACCTATTTATTGGCTCAGACCTATAGATTTGTATAAAGACATTGAAGTACTGTTTTGGTACAAGAAAAGCCTGTGGTGAATGCTGTGTTTAGATGAGTTGTACCAGCTTAAAACGTTACTATTGAATTACTGTGTTCAGTATGTTTCTTCGGAAATCAAAATAAAATCATGTGTATTGGTCTATAGCTAATTTCTTATTCCCTAAAGGTTTAAGCAAAGATTTGACTGATGAACTTCTATTAACTGATTTCCCAACTACACACTCTTGTTGATTTCAATTGTACTAACCAAACTGTTGTACTTTTACAGGAAGTGGAGATTAACAAGAAGAGACCTTCTTTCATAAAGTCTAAGGAAAGAACGACTCACATCCAGAAGAAGTTGAACACTGCCAAAAAGTCTCTGGCAGAAGCAAAACAGGCTAACGACGCTCACGAGCGGGACATACAGGAACTTCAGACGGAACTTGAAGAGGTCAGAAATTAAATTTAAAAAATGAATACAACGACCTGTGACCTGCAACCTTGTTAACTTGACCTGTTAATTGTTTATTTAAAGTACACTCACTTTAAAGCACCTCAACTAAGTTCCTATCACGGTTTAAAATGATTTTTATCACTTTTTTTTATATTAAAAGGTTCTCCCAACTCAATAATACAGTTATTTTTATTTTGAAAACATTCTTGTTGCAGAAAATTGGAAAAATTAAGATTTTCTAGTTTTACATTTTTAGCCAAACTCATATTTTAAAAATATTCCCATTTTTTTCACATGGGCATTTTTATTCAGATTCCATTGTTTTTACTGCCTTAATTGGATGAACGGGTTGTGGTAGTCACAGGCTAACAGCAAGTAAAATACAATTTGTAAATCCAGTATCTATTTTAAAACCCAGCCAATTGAAGTACAAATTCGAACCTCTTCGTAAGATTTGATGCATTTGACCAAATAGCTAAAGAGAGTCAGTCACAAGGTAGAGGCGTTCATTTGGTTCTGACACATAACTTATTGCAGTTTTAGTCAGTGTTGTTGGTCGTGTTTGCAGGTTGATGCTCGCAGACAGGAGTATGAGGACAAAGTAGCTGGAGAGAGTCAGTCACAGGGTAGAGACGTTCATTTGGTTCTGACACATAACTTATTGCAGTTTTAGTCAGTGTTGTTGGTTGTGTTTGCAGGTTGATGCTCGCAGACAGGAGTATGAGGACAAAGTAGCTGGAGAGAGTCAGTCACAGGGTAGAGACGTTCATTTGGTTCTGACACATAACTTATTGCAGTTTTAGTCAGTGTTGTTGGTTGTGTTTGCAGGTTGATGCTCGCAGACAGGAGTATGAGGACAAAGTAGCTGGAGAGAGTCAGTCACAGGGTAGAGGCGTTCATTTGGTTCTGACACATAACTTATTGCAGTTTTAGTCAGTGTTGTTGGTCGTGTTTGCAGGTTGATGCTCGCAGACAGGAGTATGAGGACAAAGTAGCTGGAGAGAGTCAGTCACAGGGTAGAGACGTTCATTTGGTTCTGACACATAACTTATTGCAGTTTTAGTCAGTGTTGTTGGTTGTGTTTGCAGGTTGATGCTCGCAGACAGGAGTATGAGGACAAAGTAGCTGGAGAGAGTCAGTCACAGGGTAGAGGCGTTCATTTGGTTCTGACACATAACTTATTGCAGTTTTAGTCAGTGTTGTTGGTCGTGTTTGCAGGTTGATGCTCGCAGACAGGAGTATGAGGACAAAGTAGCTGGAGAGAGTCAGTCACAGGGTAGAGGCGTTCATTTGGTTCTGACACATAACTTATTGCAGTTTTAGTCAGTGTTGTTGGTTGTGTTTGCAGGTTGATGCTCGCAGACAGGAGTATGAGGACAAAGTAGCTGGAGAGAGTCAGTCACAGGGTAGAGGCGTTCATTTGGTTCTGACACATAACTTATTGCAGCTGTAGTCAGTGTTGTTGGTTGTGTTTGCAGGTTGATGCTCGCAGACAGGAGTATGAGGACAAAGTAGCTGGAGAGAGTCAGTCACAGGGTAGAGGCGTTCATTTGGTTCTGACACATAACTTATTGCAGTTTTAGTCAGTGTTGTTGGTCGTGTTTGCAGGTTGATGCTCGCAGACAGGAGTATGAGGACCAAGTAGCTGGAGAGAGTCAGTCACAGAGTAGAGGCGTTCATTTGGTTCTGACACATAACTTATTGCAGCTGTAGTCAGTGTTGTTGGTTGTGTTTGCAGGTTGATGCTCGCAGACAGGAGTATGAGGACAAAGTAGCTGGAGAGAGTCAGTCACAGGGTAGAGGCGTTCATTTGGTTCTGACACATAACTTATTGCAGTTGTAGTCAGTGTTGTTGGTTGTGTTTGCAGGTTGATGCTCGCAGACAGGAGTATGAGGACCAAGTAGCTGGAGAGAGTCAGTCACAGGGTAGAGACGTTCATTTGGTTCTGACACATACTTATTGCAGTTGTAGTCAGTGTTGTTGGTTGTGTTTGCAGGTTGATGCTCGCAGACAGGAGTATGAGGACCAAGTAGCTGGAGAGAGTCAGTCACAGGGTAGAGACGTTCATTTGGAAGATGCACAGGTTAGTCACCACAAAAGAGTTTTTCCAGATTTAGCCTATATGTACTAAGAACGATTGTGAGACTTAGCATTCACATCTTACAACAAATGTTTCTGCAGTATTTGTTGTTGTTGCCAAAGTCATTATTTGTATATTGTACGTACAATTTCTTCTTTGAAAATTTAATTTCAGTTTTGATTTGTAACATAGTGAATCAAATTGTTTTCCTGTTTTGAAATAATTGCACAATAACGTAAATAAAAAACTCAGGGTCGAATTTGTTTACATTTGATCCTTTTACTTAAAGGGTTGAGATGGTATAAAAGGTAGGGGTGTGCGAGTACTCGAATCTTCGAGCTTTTTGGTCGAGCTTTTCATTATTCGGCTCGGCTCGAGGCATTTTGAAAAAGCTCGAAGTTCGAGCCGAGCTTTTAATACTAAGTCAAAACTAAAAAAACACTTAATTTGGGTCGTAATTGAAAACAATGTTATCACAATTCTAAGTTGTTCATGCATTTGAGGTTTGATAAGCACGAACACAAACCTCAGCTCAGTCAAGACGCAATGATTATCGATCGTAATTTTGAGGAGATACAGTAGTAAAGAGACAATCTACCACCTATCCTATCGCGTTGTCTTCCTAACACAGCTATTCGTATCGTAATACACAACGCAGTGCGAGTGCGTGATTGGCTCGTCGCTATGACGACACATGGTTGCCGTGGCAACCTACAGTGCGCACTGAGCACTGCGCCTTGTGTGGGAGGGGAGATTATACCAACAAACTATTTCAGGAATTCTATTTTGGGACCGATGGAAGATAAGGAAGAAACTAAAAGTGGTCACGTGTGCAAATGTAGTGGGCGACACAATAAGGCTGTAAACGAGTATCGTCATGCCGTTGTTCCTTGTTTGTTTACTTTTTCAGATTCCTTATCAAACGCCCCTATCTGCTATCTCTCTTTCTCTCTCTCTCTCTCTCTCTCTCTCTCTCTCTCTCTCTCTCTCTCTAACAGTGTACTGATTAAACAGATTGTGGTTGACGACTTTTCTACTTATAAGATTCCCTGCGGTTATTTTAGTTCAATCAAACCCATAACCTTTCTAATGTTTATCAAAATAATTAATTAATCTGTTTTGTATTTTATTCCCTTTAAACCAACCCCTATTTACCATCTATATTTTATAGAATAAAATGTTTGTTTATAAAGTTTGACTGGTCACACAATTTTGTACCTATTTTATTTTGTTTAAAAGTAGGGGTGTGCGGATATCTGAAAAATCGGGTAACCGGGCCCAAATTCGATATCCGACACTATCTGTTATATATCCGGCTTTTCGGATAGACAATATATTTTGACGTTTTGGACAAAAAACTAAATCTCCATAGCCACCATTAGTTTCCCAGGACAAAATTACAGCAATACGTTTCCAACGACCTAACAGCAAACGGCAAAGAAGCCTTGTATGATGCAATACTGATAACTAGTTTAGTCGTTATCGGCTGTTTTGCTTTACGATTAGATTCGTCTGGAACGAACAGACATAAAGCAGAAAAGAACTACCATGGTCAAATGAAAGTCAACTCGTGCTTGTCTCCCTCCTGATACTAGGGGCGCTGCGTAATAGTTTTTTTACAGTACTGTTTCAAATTCAAAGTAGAAAAATCTAGCCTACTACTGTGAAGTTACGTAAACAATAGATTTAATGTTTCCCAAAAAAAAGTCAGAATAGAAACAATAGAAAGGCAACACAATAGAAGGGTGGGAGGGGTTGGGCAATGACCTTGAAAGGAGCGCGGGTATAGTGAGTCAAGTAGGACCGGAGGGGGAAGGGGTGGGTAAGACCTTGAAGCTATATATAGACTTGCACTACTTCCCTAAACCTAAAGGACTGGCCGGCGAGTGGTATTCCAATCACAGGACAAGATACGTTGTGTTTTAGGTATTCATTGCCCGGGTTGACTTTGGATTGTCTTGCTGTGTAGAAACTTTGAATAATAAAAAATAAAGTTAGAACTAACCACGATTATTTAGCATTGATTGTGTACATATTAAATTATTAAACTATAGGGACCATGGATATATACAAACTTTTGTTGTGATTTTAATTTCAACATCAAAATACAATATTGCACAATCGTGATATTTTAGGTCATCGACCTTTATTATGCATCCGGTATTGCTGTTTCGGAAGAGAAGCACGTTGATAAATTATAAATTGATATTCCCGTAGTTAAAAAGAATTATTTTATAAATCTATAAAACTAAATCATAAAATCTTACATACAGATAACAATAACGGAAATTGTAAAAAAGGTATAAAGATAACACGTTATTCTTTCTCTTTGTTCTTCTATTTCTTGGGTTTCCCTTCATCACGCATTCAACAAGTTGCCATGGTTACTAATCACCCATGTCGTTATCAGCTTTTGTGACATAACGCACAGCAGGGGGGTAAAACTTGACGAAAATCGGTTAATTTTTACCTATTATTTAATTACCAATGAATGTACTACTTTATTGGTATTTGGTACTGTATTAATAATCGGTCAAAATGGCCGATTTTTGTCAAATTTTACACCAAATTTATTGAAATTTCAAGGTGAATATTAATAAAACAATTATTACCAAATATTTGTATTAATTTAAAAGATTGATTTGTGGTATTGGGTTCCCCACTGAGTGCAGCCGAGCGGCACTAATGAGGGTCGGACCTTCTTGGGGGTGAACAATAGACGGCTTATCAGACCCTCCCCTCCCCCGTGGTCTGGAGAAAGCTTGTAAACAAACTATTGCACAAGCGACTTGACATTTGGCTGCTTCAACTATAATTTTGTCAAATGAACTGTGATGTTTCAAAATCAAAAACAATAATTTGGGACCATACTGCTTAACAATAATGGACTGCAATTATTGTTAAACATACAATCCATTTTTAACAAACTAAGATTATACGATTCAAATAGAATTATAAAAATTTTCTTGGTATTATACTTGGGGTAATGAAGTTATGTAGGCTAGTGTAATTCTCAGTTCATCAAGGTTCTACTGAATAATGTTTGGCAGTGAATAAGTGTAGAATTCAATTTATAAATTCAGGGATACACACCTTTTACACAGTTATAAAGTCGTTAATTAATAGAAATAGTTAATTCTGGAAAATTAAAAATAGTGATCGCATTCATAAACCTGTTGTCAAAACAGCAACACGGGTGTAAGGGTTTATTGTTTTAGATGCAAGGGTGTTTCAAGGACAAAGTACAGTGTTGGGCCTCCCGGCTTATGGGGGGAGGGGGGCGGTGAGACTGTGTGAAGGGGAGGAAACTGGTTTTGGCTATTTATTGATTAGTTCCCTGACCCTTCTAGATAACAAAATTGAGCGACAGTATTAAATCATCGTGTACTTTATTTCATTTCTTGTTTACTTTGTGTGTTATTCTATTAATTTTAGTGTTTTAGTCTATTTCCTCTATGTCAATTATATCTTTTTTAATATATAAGTTTACTTTTTACTTGTCTCTCCACCTTTTTGGATCCAAACCAACCATGTTCTTTATTTGATTAATACGATTCATAAAACAAAAATATTTTGTGCATGGAAAACAAAAAGAATAATCACGTGTTTTAAAATTTATTTTGTATTTATTTATACAAAATAGAATTAAATATTCATAGTAGTTACAATATGCATTATGTAATCGAGTTGCTAGTTGTTTTGTCGTCATTCAATGTCGCGATGATGTTCTGTTCAAGAATCAAGAATATTTATTTGCCATTAAATAACAGAACGTTACTGTTATGAAAGACAATCTGATTGTCTCAGTCTGCACTGCATATCTCGTCAGGCCTTCAATCGATATCCTTTTATTTCTTGCATCTTAATTTAGTTCAGTTCAGTTCTTATCGTGATTATCTACTATTTGATGTCTTGACAATTCTCAACGTTTTTAAACATATTAAAATAACATTGTGTTTATTTAAAAATTGACAGAACATTATTATTATTATGCACTTTTTTAAGAAAAAAAAGTTTAATAACTTAGATAAGGTGACGCTAGGAAAAGCTCGGCTCGAAAAAGCTCGAGCTCGAAAATTTTTTAAAAAGCTCGGCTCGGCTCGAGGTTGAAAATCACTATTCGCACACCTCTAATAAAAGGTAAACACAATATCTGATTGCTTGTGTTAAATTATACCTTCTTTAATGTTTGTAGCATCCTCTAGTAGCTTTTGTATGGAATAGTCCAAATACTGGTCTAAAGACCATCCAACAACAATCTGGTTTTAGAAACCATCATTGTTAAAATACTACCTAGTGATAAATAACTATAAATTTGTTGTTGTCTGACAAAGCTTCCTCACAAACACTCTTTACATTTATTCTCTATTTTTTTACTACTTTCTATTTTATTTCCTCTGATTTACCTCTGTCTCAATTATTTAAATAACTTTTTCCATAGTGTATCATTGCAGAGCATTAGGCAAGTTTTGTAATTGATAACTTTATTTATTTACGTTCGTATAGTTCAGCATTATATTTTTATACCCTCTTAGAAGATTAGGCAACTTGAAAGAAAGAAGAACCATAATACTTTCTAGTAGTTAATGTAAGCCTAAATTTTCAACTTATTGTTCAGGTTCAGGAGTATAACAGACTAAAAGTAGAAGCACAGAAACAGTCTGCCCGTTATCTGCAAGAGCTCGACTCTATCAACCGAGAGCAGAAAGCGGAACAAGACAAACTGGACAACGAGGCGAGAATCAGAGGAGATCTTGACAATAAGATCAAGCAGAAAACTCACGAGAAGGAGGAGGCACAGAAACGGGTTGATAAACTCATCGAACACATCAGGTGAATGTCACTTTCTTCAACCTGTCCTTTAAGAAACCTTTAGCAATACAATATAAGTAGTACATAGGGATGGACGAGATTGGATTTTTAGTTCGAGACGAGACAAGACGAGATTTTTTATTTCTCATAAAATTTCGAGACGAGATCGAGACGGGATTTCCCTTCTCATACGCAACGGGAAATGCACGTTCAAAATTATTACCTGATTTTGTAACATTAGATGACTGTTTAAATACAAAAATAATGATAATAGGCAAGAATATTTACAATCTTTTATTAAAAAACATCAGCATAACATTTTTTTACTAATCACGCCTAACTTATTAAAAATGCCTACGATTAGGAAACATAGTGATATCAGTTAGGATAGAGTTCAACTTATCCTAAAATAAAATAAATCATAAAATAAAAGCAATATTAATTTTTATAAAATAGTTACTTGTTTTGACTTTTTATAGTAATAAAACATTCCTCACACTGCTTACACTTTACAAAACTTCCCAAATGTTATTAAAGTAATATTATTAAAGTAATTAAAGTAGGGATGGATGGGATTGAATTTTTAGTTCGGGACGGGACGGGACGGGATTTTTATTTCCTTCCCGATTTTCGGGACGGGACGGGACGGGATTTTTTTCTGAGCATAAAAAGAAAGTACTGTATTGCAGTTACCAAAAAAGACAAACAAAATCAATTTTTACCATTTGTGGCACTGATCTATAAAAACCAAAAATGGGTCACAATTTACAGTTTTACCTATAGTAACTTGTGACTCGCGGGTCACGGGGTGATCGTCTGTATGACTCACGGTCACGGCGCGATCGTCGTCGTGACTCGCGATCACGGCGCGATCGTCGGTAGGACTTGCGGTCACGGCGAGATCGTCGGTATGACTCCGCGGTCACGGGGTTATCGTCGGTATGACTCGCGGTCACGGCATGATCGTTGGTATGACTCGCGATCACGGCTTGATCGTCAACATGACTCCACGGTCACGGCGCGATCGTCGTCATGACTCCGCGGTCACGGCGCGATCGTCGTCATGACTCGCGGTCACGGCGCGATCGTCGGTAGGACTCCACGGTCACGGCGCGATCGTCGGTAGGACTCCGCGGTCACGGCGCGATCGTCGGTAGGACTCGCGGTCACGGCGTGATTGTCGGTATGACTCGTGGTCACAGCGCGATCGTCGGTATGACTTCGCGGTCACGGCGCGATCGTCGTTATGACTCCACGGTCACGGCGTAATCGTTGAAATGACTTCGTCTCCTGCGTTCGCGGACCTATCGCTCGCAATAACGGTGCTTTGTGGCACTGATCTATAAAAACCAAAAATGGGTCACAATTTACAGTTTTACCTATAGTAACTTGTGACTCGCGGGTCACGGGGTGATCGTCTGTATGACTCACGGTCACGGCGCGATCGTCGTCGTGACTCGCGATCACGGCGCGATCGTCGGTAGGACTCGCGGTCACGGCGAGATCGTCGGTATGACTCCGCGGTCATGGGGTTATCGTCGGTATGACTTCGCGGTCACGGCGCGATCGTCGTTATGACTCCGCGGTCACGGCGTAATCGTTGAAATGACTTCGTCTCCTGCGTTCGCGGACCTATCGCTCGCAATAACGGCGCTTTCGGCACTCGCGAAGCGGAAAAATCGCCGAAGATCGGACCAAATCCCGTCCCGAAAGATTCCCGAGTCAAATGTAATCCCGTCCCGGTAATCGGGAATATTTTTTTCCCGAAAAATTCCCGAAATTTCGGGACCCGTCCATCCCTAAATTAAAGTAATATTTACATTTAAAGAATTAATTAAATAAGAACGCCTTCACAAAGGAAACGCAACTACAACACGCTCCTGTATTGCGGGTATTGCATTGACTTTCTGCAGGCGTTTTTAATTTAATTTAATTTTTTTTTTATTCCCGTCTCGGTAAAAATCTCGGCCAAAAAAAAATCTCGTCTCGTGTAACGAGATTTAAAATTTCCCGAAAATTTCCCGAAATTTCGAGACTTGACCATCCCTAGAGTACATAAAGTATTTTAGCATTTCAATTCAAAAGGTTCACAAATCCACAGTTACTGTTTTATCTACGCTCAAGTTAGATAACAGTTGAAACGCACAGTGCAGTACCGGTAGTCATAATAAACTTGATATAATTTTATATAGGGCTCAACTTTATCAGTTAACTACTTTATTTAATTATATGGATTATTTTAATACTAATTTTGTTGCACCTCTGTACAGTGACAAGCAAGTTCTCAACTAATCACGTTTAACTACATTTGCAAACATAATCTGATTTTATTTGTTGTATTGTTGTACAGGACGAGTGAGCAAGCGTTGGAGGACCAGAAGCGGCTGCGGGAAGAACTACAGTCTGACGTTGGAACATCCAAGGGTCGAGTGCAGGAGTTGCAGAAGGAACTGGAGAACGTGATGGAACAGCTGGGAGACGCAAAGATAGACAAGCATGAAGACTCTCGCCGCAAGAAGAAACAGGAGATTGTCGAGAACTTCAAGAAGAACTACCCTGGCGTTGTAAGATTATTTTGTACCAACTTTCCTGTCTTGTGATATGAGCCACTAACTTCATCTTGTTAAGTTAAAAATATTAATGTATTGCTAACATTTGAACTTTAGTATAAAATTATACATAGATCAAATGGGAAAGGAAAAATTTTGAAAAAGTTCATCCGGACAGATAAAGTGTGTCATAGCTTTTATGGAAAGATATTTTAATTTGGTAAACTAAGTTAAAATTAAACTCTTTTCCCTGTTTGAGCTCTTTAATTAGCCAAATATTTTTATAAACTTTTCATGAAAGATAAAACAAAACCCTTAACTGATTCCATCCTTACTTGTTACTGTACATAAATACCTTTTTCGATACATTTTTTCTCTAGGTCAGAATATCAACCAGGCATCTCCATCTTCTTCAGACTGTCTGCAGTTCCTCATCACCTTCTGTCATCTTGCTCCTCTTCCTACACATCCATTACCAAACATCTTCTAACCACCCTGATCTCCTCTTATCATCAACTCCACTTTCCCTGGAAAGATGAGTTTGTCCTTGCAGATTATTGACCATTATCCTTGTTACAGTATGACCGGATGATCAACATGTGCCAGCCCATCAACAAGAAGTACAACGTCGCTGTCACCAAGGTGCTAGGCAAGTATATGGAGGCCATTGTCGTAGACACAGAGAAGACTGCGAGACTGTGTATTCAGTTTCTCAAAGAACACATGCTTGATCCAGAGACATTCTTGCCCATCGACTACATCCAGACCAAGTCTCTGAAGGAGCGTTTGAGGTCAGTTATCCAATTGAGTTTGTTTACGAGGGTATTTGTTGCATAATGTCAAAGTGGTTCAATCTACTCAAGTCTTTGTGTACGTTAAAACCATTGACTGTTGGATATCGAAGTAGACAGGACCAGCTGTAGCCAATCTTTTTATTCAAAACAATGTCAAATGAGTCATGTCTGACTCATTGTGTACAACTAACTATCCAAGTTCAGTTTTCTCCTTTAGCTACCTTGAAGATTATTTAAGATATTTTCCATCACAATTATTAATAAAAAAGGTTTCCATAATGATGCAGGATCTGGAACCTGATTCAGCCCTCAGATGAGAAAATATGAATATATTACAAGAATCGTAAGTTACACAAACTAAGTTGAAGTATGGGTAAACAACTCACAGAATCGAGTAGTGTTTATTTTTTCCCCAGTTTCGGCTGGGTTTAAACTTTTGCTTGTAACTTTTTGGTACTTTCTTATCTGAGGATGGGAACAGATTCTAGATCCCGAAAAATTATGAAAACTTTGTTTTTTAATTATCATGATGGAAAACACCCGCAATAATCTGTTGAACTCCTCCGTTATTTTTTGTTACTGAGATAGCTAATGTGGCATATTAGAGACAATAGTCAACAATAATTTATCCTCTCAGTTTGGCTTGGTTAAAAAGTTGACAACAGAAATCAAACATTTTTATCAATACATTTAATGATTGGTGTCAATGTTGATGGCTCAATATGCAACGATGTTCAGTTTATTGTAAAACTGGCTACAACTTTATCGTGGGAATAGCATATCTATCACAATGCATAATTAAAAGTGTAATTTAGCTAGTTATCAAGTTTTTATTTTTACATTTCTTTTGTCTGGTTTTCTCAGGAACATCAAGGAGCCTAAGAATGTGAAGCTGTTGTACGATGTACTGAACTACTCTCCTCCAGACATCAAGAGAGTGGTTCTGTTTGCTACCAACAACGCTCTGGTCTGTGACACACCAGAAGATGCCATGAAGGTGGCATACGAGATTGAACCTATGAACAGATATGACGTGAGTGCTTAACGTATTGTTGATGAATTATGTAAGTAAAACTTAACAACGGAAAATCCAAAATGACTTAGGCCTTGTCTCGACTTCTTTAAACATGAAATTATAAAGTTGTTGAAAATGGTGAAAATTAGGCCTATGAAAGAAACAAAAAAAAAAATGGAAGAGGGATTTTGTACAGCACCGAGTCTAATATATTGTTTTTACTTTTTTAAACTAAATTTTTTTCCGCAGGCGGTGGCGTTAGACGGGACCTTCTACCAGAAGTCTGGAATCATGTCTGGAGGCAGTCTTGATCTCGCCAGAAAAGCCAAACGTTGGGACGACAAGCAAATGTCTCAACTCAAGTCTACCAAGGTATTTTCATGCTTTCTCTTGCTAGTTATTATTGACTTATTGACATTAAGATAGGCTGATTATACTAGGCACGTTTTTTAAGTAAGGACCGTTTTTAAATTTCTTCGTTCCAGCACTGCGATTGGCATTTTCGACATTTGCGCTGTGTATGTGCATCTATTGGTAAGACATAGCCGGAAATTCGAGGAAAATCGGCCGTGTTTACATCCGGTTTCGAGCATTCAAAATGGTGCCGCCAATTGAGACTGCCGCCTACTGTGAAGTGAGCGCTGTAATTAGATTTTTAAGAGCTAAAGGTGTGAAAGCTATTGAATATCATCGACAGATTAGTGAAGTGTATGGCGAGAACATTATGAGTGACGGAATGGTACGCAAGTAGGTAAGGGCATTTTAAGACGGCCCCACCAACGTTCATGATGAGCAACGCACTGGGTACGGGGACAGTAATGACGCCACCCAGTGCGTTACTCATCATGAACGTTGGTGGTACCGTATTTCAATTCCCATATCCACTTGCATACAATTATGACACTCATAATGTTCTCGCCATACACTTTACCAATCTGTCGATGATTTTTAATGGCTTTCACACCTTAAGCTCTTAAAAATCTAATTACAGCGCGCACTTTACAGTCGGCGGCAGTCTCAATTGGCGGCACCATTTTGAATGCTTGAAACCGGATGTAAACAGGGCCGATTTTTCTCGAATTTCCGGCTATGTCTTATCAATAGATGCACATACACAGCGCAAATGTCGAAAATGCCAATCGCAGTGCTGGAACGAAGAAATTTAAAAACGGCCCTTACTTAAAAAACGTACCTAGTATACTGTTTAAAAATCTTTTAGTATAATCTCTTTTCAACAATTTTAGTCACATTATTGACATTTAAGTCTGACGCTGACCACTAAGTATACATTATACCCAAATGTTTAAATGTTTAACTCGATTGAATTAATAAATTGATATAGAATACTGCATGTACTTTAACTGTTTACTGCTTCTAGGAAAAACTGACGGAAGAGTTACGAGAGGCGATGAAGAAGTCTCGTAAAGAGTCGGAACTGAACACCGTTGAGTCTCAGATCCGAGGATTGGAAACTCGACTAAAGTACTCAAAAACTGACAAGGAGAAGACAGTAAGTGTTGAATTAGAGTGAATAAGTGTTATGAGATTAGAGAAAAATGTGCTTACACTAAAACCTTTTACAAAACTTAAGTTAAAAAAAATCCTCAACACAATTGCTAAATAAACCTAAAATCAAAAAACCAACCTAATTTATTTAGGTTTGATAAAATCAACCTAAATAAATATGCGGACTATCTTGTTTTGGTAGTCATTCATAATTGTGTGGTTGTCTTTTTGTCCATGCTTTTTAAAGATTTCAGTAGCTTATAAAATTGTATATTGTAATTGAAAACATTCTTTTACAGTTGATGCAAATCGCTGCATTAGACGAAGAGTTGCGACAGTTGGAAGCAAAACTGGAGCTAATATCTGTGAGTAGTCAGTCCTATCTTCTCATTATTGGGTAGACCGATGCTTCTAGCTGCCACATCAGCTTAGGGCAACTGACTTTTAGATTGACTTGCTTACTGAATTTGACACACAAGGGCAAGTATGAGAAAGAAAAGTATGTAATGAGATGACTGTTAAGTACGGTACGGTATGTGACAAATTAGCCAACTCATAAATCAGTCACTGATAAGTATTTTCAGAAAATCGTAACAAGAATCATGATGTTCAAACCTTGTAACGTTGAATAGAAGTTTTAACTTATGCTCTTTGGCTGTTGATTGATGAATGCTTTTTGCAATTAATACATGTACTTTGTTGGCAATATGAGAAAATTATTTATTTTTATTTAATTGATAAACCAGGGTAGAAGTGTTTGTTACAAAGCAACACATTAGGTTGTCTTTTACCACTTGACTGTATATAGATAGTGATGCAGAAATATATTACTTGTTCATAATATTGAAAACTATTTTTTTCACTAATGACAATTTTTGCCTTATTTCAGCCAAGATGCGAATCTATCGAGCGATCCATGATGGAACGTGGTCAGCTTATCCAGGAGATGAAAGAAAAGATGAACCGTGTTGAAGATGATGTGTTTGAAGATTTCTGCCGTTCAATTGGGATGCATAACATCCGACAGTATGAAGAGCGAGAGCTTCGCAGCCAACAAGAGAGAGCAAAGAAACGGCTTGAGTTTGAGAACCAAAAGAACCGAATCATGAACCAGTTGGAGTTTGAGAGGATGAAGGATACTAAGAGTGAGTTTGTTGTTAGAAACGGAGCTTTAATTGGGAATTGTCTCGTTAGGGATGTTACTAACACTATAAAATAAGCTCATCTGTTGTTTATTGCTAGATACAACCTCCTGAACAATCAAATCTAGAAACATTTGTCAGTAAATGGAACAATATAGGATAATTGACACCCTAATGCAGTTAGCCTTATTTATCTTTTATAATTTTTTCTCATAACTTCAGTGATTCTGAAAAGCCTTTTTTGTTATAACAGGGTAATGAATAATGTAACTTTTATTTATTCGTAAATAAGTGTAAATCATTTGATATGCTAACAGACAACGTACTGAGGTGGGAGCGAGCTGTTTCTGATGACGAGGATGAGCTGGAGAGAGCCAAGCAGGCAGAACAGAAGCAGATGTCAGAGATAGACAAACTGATGAAGGAGCTGGAGAAGCACAAGAGTGAACGGCAGACCAAGAAAATGGATGTGGACGCCTTTGAGGAACAGATTGGCAAAGCTCGCAGAGAGGTGAGTGGATTAACGCCTTTTGTTCTGATATTTGATACTGTCAATGGTTTACAATTATGGTCAATAATTGGCTACCTGTGTACTTTGAGGCTTAGGTGGAAGAATAAGAAGAATTAACTATTAGAATTACTAGAAGTGAAACACTGGTTTAGGAGCCAAAATGTTAAGTTAAAAAAACAATAATTTTATTTTGATGTTATTGGTGATTTGTAAATTCTTTTGTGAGATTTTGGTTGTCAACATGAATACAATTTCGTTGGGTAGCAAGGAGATGGGTAAGAAAGTTAAGAGTTTTGTTGCAAACAGAAAATATGTACATTTACCTCTCAAGAAACCAAAAATGTTAACCAAGGTACACTTTCTCTGTGTCACAGAACACCTTTGGGTAACTGAAAGCCATAGTTCCTTGTTGATTTTAACCACTTTATCTCTTATTACATCCTGATGATATATGTATGTTTGTTACAGGTGGGTGCGATTGCCAAGGATATTCAGGCGGCACAGAAGCTAGTGAACAGCATTGAGAGCAAGCTTGAGATGCGTAAGGGAGAGAGACACAGCATTCTCATGCACTGCAAGGTAAAGTGGGGATCAATTAATTCATTGATATTGATTGGTGTTCTGGAATTACAATCACATGTAATAATCCCATATTTGTTGTATTATCTGCTTCCTTTTTATTATTAAAAGTAGGGGTCTGCGGGTCCCCGATTTTTTCGGGTCGGGTCGGGCCAGCGGAAGGCCCGAGAGACCGGGTCGGGTCAGAGATTTGTTCGGGCCAAGATCGGGTCGGGCCAAAAAAAAATTATTATTATTTTCAAAGTTATAATAAGTAATTTTCAAAGAAACACTCTTATATATATTATTACAGAGGAATTAAAATGTTAAAATTAGAATTAAATATTAAGTTTGCTCACGTTTAAGAACAAAGACACAACAGAGCAATTGCCTTACTGTCACTAGCCAGAGCCAGTCGTCTACTGACAAAACAAAAGCCGTGACTCAACAGTGCAAAGAAAACGAAGTCAAAAGAAAGACTATTTATCCAGAGGTCCCATTTTAATTATTTATTGTTTATTCCATACCTAGTTTAAAATATATTTTAGTATTTTATTTACATAATAAATTATAAACAAAAGAAATATCTGATATAGTGTACAGATCTGTATCTTGTTCTTTTATTTTCCTATTGTCCTTTTTGTCATTCAGTAACAAAACAAAACAACACTTCTGATCGTCTGGTTAGGCATTGTATGGTCACTATTTCATTTTTTTTTTAAAGTAACAAGTATCAGCAAGTCTACAAAGAGGTTAGGCCTAAATATTTTATAATTTTATTTTATGAAAGTTTTCATCAGTAAAATTATTTTTTTCTTAGGTTAGATAGAGTTTCAAAAAAGATATTTCTAAGATCCAATACAATATTTACAAGACACAAACTACCATGAATTAATTTCTTTATAAATTATCTGTAACAGTTTTATATTTTTGAATAAAGAAAATATATCTTTTTGTCTCTACTTCCTTGTTTCGTTACTTGCATTTTGTCAGCAATTGGAACAACCAGGTGGTGTAATAGTGGCGGGGGAGGGGGAGGGTCTATGACCTTGAGTGTCCCCGGGCCTGGCTCGGGTTGTGTAAGAGGGAAGGGGAGGGGAGGGGGAGGGTCTGTAACCTTGAGTGTCCCCGGGCCCGGCTGTGAGAGTGATTCATGGTTTTTTGTTTACATTCTACTACCCTTCCTTCCGAGAAAAAGACCCTACGGTTTCAAAAACATTGACTTACAGTATAAAAACATTGAGTTGTGTTGCTAATTAGGGCACTATAATGTCTCTGTTGTCTGCTTATGTTGCCAAATTAGCATTTAACTTTCTTTTCTCTTGATTTAATATAATTTTCTATATATTAAGAGTTCCTTTTTGGGTACCTAATAATTGTGATATTGTTTGACTTGAGTTTATGGATTTTTAATTCTTTTCATTTATTAGCTAAAATCAGTTGTTTTAGGATCTCTTGCAATACCTATAACTGTGCCTATAACTGTGTATCTATAACTGTGTACCTATGACATGATATGCAATTTTTACAGTCTTTACTATAACTATACCATAAACAATGTATGTGTGCTATTTTTACTGTTTTAGAGTTTTATAGTAAATTAGTTTACACAATATCTTTTCTTCAATGAGTTCTCCACTTGTCATGTTGCTTAGTCTATTACTATTTTAGGCCCTATAAAAAATAATTCCTATGTAAAGCTGTAGGCCTACTAATGCCAATAATAGATAATTCTTTATTTATGATGATGTAACTAATAATGCTATTGTAAGTGTGAGGTTTTTGTACTTAGGAGGTTAGGAGGCAGGGAATGAATGATTCATATTGCATGGTGGAAACATAGAATTTTTATTTTCTTCTTGCTTGCAGTCTTGAAGCCAGTCCACAGGCCCTAAACTTGTGATAAGGTTAATTGATTTGTTTATGATCCTTTTATATTAAGTTCCATTACAAACTTGTTGTAATATAGCTGTTTAGATATTTCAACAGTTATAAAAATGGGAAAGAATGGCTTGATAAAAAAAAATTATTTTCTTCTTTCTTGCAGTTGAGGCAACTTCTAAGCTGTAAATAAGTTATGAACATGAAATAATATACATAAATACATTTTTCCCATATGTTATTTTCAAGTAATATTAAAAACACAGATAGGAGTTAAAAAAATATAAAAAATCCGGCAATTAATAATTTTTGGCCCGACCCGATTTTGGCCCGAAACCCGAGGACCAAAATTATCGGCCCGACCCGACCCGACCCGCAGACCCCTAATTAAAAGTGTACTTGTATTTTTAGTAAAAGCCGTTTGGCTATTTTGGGAGATTGTTTAGGGATTGTTTTTCTTTGAAATATTTGATTAGGTTGACGAACCAAGTGGGAAGTGTGTACTTGGTGTTTAAGTTACTTTTAGTTAATTTTTCATTGCATTAATTCAGCCTTGCAAACTCCAGCATTGTTGCTCCAAAGGTTCTCAAAGTATATTTTAGACTGTTGCCTTGTGTTTCTAGATGGAGGATATCCAAATCCCCATGTTGCATGGTAACATGGAAGACATTGTTGCACAAGATTCTTCTACAATGGATGATAGCAGCTCCACTGTCGCTGCTCAGATATACGACCGTGAGGCCAGGTAGATATACAGTACACTTGCAATCTGATTCCAAGACCTTGGCTATACTGAATTAGGCCTAAGTACTGAGCGCCTTCTAAATATAGGCACCTTCCTTAGTGTATTAGCCTACAAAGCCAAGTGCTTTTTCCTCCAAAAAATTACTAAGGTTATCAGGCAATTTTTCAACCCTCAGCTGAATGCTTTAAACTTAAACATTACTTAACTTGCCTGAAATCCTTTTTCCTATTTAACTGCAGAAAACCCTCCTTAGACTGATTGTATTATAAGCTGAGGATATAGTGCATTTATTTTTATTCAAAAGTTGCAGGGTTATACTGTACATCCCAAATTTTTATTTTTGGTTCCGCCGATTTCTAACCTGGGAACCAAAATATAGAAAGAATCAAATTTGGAACAGTATTGTGTGTTTTATATTCATCAGTAATAATTTGTTTTTCCAGGATCTCAATCGATTACTCAGGGCTGAATGAATCGTACAAGGACTTTGACGAGGATGAAGTAAAGAAGTACGGTGACAAACTGGCCAAGTCCATCAGTGATGCCTCACTCACCCTCCAGAAGATACAGGCACCTAATATGAAGGTAAAGAATCTCAATCAGTAAACACTCACTAATGTGGTCATGTTTAGGAGATCTAATAAAATGCTGCTCATAGAAAAGACATGTAAGATGTATCTTTGTTTAAGTTAATTTGTTGAATTGATTTTCAAGCATTATTGTTCTAAAGGCATTTACACCAACTTGTGTACCCACAGGCGATGCACAAGCTTGAAATGGCACGGGAAAAGCTCCAGGAAACCAACGAGGAGTTTGAAAACGCTAGAAGAAGAGCAAAACAAGCGAAGAAGAACTTTGAAAAGATCAAGAAGGAAAGGCACGACAAGTTTATGGACTGCTTTGAACATGTGTCTAATGAAATTGACAACATTTACAAGGTACTTTTAAATAAGAAATGTGTTAGGGAATTGGCTTCTTAATTCCTCAATCAACTCAAAAACTACCTAAATTCTTCCAAAAAATATCCAAAAGGTTACCTTACAAAAATACTTTAGAAATTGCTACTAGCATTGAAAAACATTAAAGAATTTCATTATTAATAACAATAACATAAGAAGTGTGAATTGTGTGAGACCTGTTTATTTTGCTACCAGTTCGCAATTACTAAGGTTGATAGGGCGTGGTGAAAAATGCACTTGGATTTGTCACCTTTTTATAGATGACTCCTTGCTTTTAGTTTATGCAAGCATTTGCCATTATTTTAAATTAAGCCAAAAGCCAAATACACCCACTAGAATATTTCTATTACCCTTGTGAGTTTACTTAGTTAGGTTTCTAAAGAATCATAAATTAAAAAATGTTCATTCACAATTTTAGTCTGTTGATTCTGCACTAACCTCAACCATAACAAATACCTCGACTTGCATTGTATTTTAGTTGTTTTTAGTTACCTTCATTCATATTATAATAAGGTTTTTTTAGGTTATTTAATCCTTGACAACTGCATTTACATTGAACTAGATTACTCATCTCTTTGCTATACACTGACGATACATTCGTTTTTTTTATCATGAAAAAGCTAGGATAGCAGATCTCTGTTAACCTATCAGTCAAAACCTCCTAGCAGTGTAACAAGTCTACACAATTTAACACTCTGACCTGTAGTCTCTAGCCAAGAACCAATCGGCCCAAGCGTTCCTTGGTCCGGAGAACCCTGAGGAGCCCTACCTGGATGGCATCAACTACAACTGTGTGGCACCAGGCAAGCGGTTCCAGCCCATGTCTAACCTGTCAGGAGGAGAGAAGACAGTTGCCGCTCTGGCATTGCTGTTTGCCATCCACAGGTGAGGATATAGTTTATCGTTTTGTCTAGTGGAAAAAGTAGAAGATTGTGTAAATACCTGTGGATCCACAGATTGCTCTCTGAAACTAGTTTCAGCATAAAAGAAGTTTCATTCCTAGGCTGTGTCGGGACATTCACACACGTTTCATACTTTTACTGAATGCCAATTCTTTTTTCAAATCCTGCAAAGAACATAGGCGTTTCCATGAGAAAATAAGATGCTAGGTTTGTAGGCAAAACGTTTTTCCTAGTACAGCCATTGACTATTGTACAGCTGAAGGTGGCATCATTTTTACGTTGTAACTAGTTACTGAATGCAATTTGTCGATAACCGCTAGTCAGTTTCACTTTTTCAGTATCTATGGGTAATCCAGAACAACTAATTACAAGAACCACCAAACTAAAATAGTTTTAAATTTGAATGCAGATGACCTTCAAGCCATTTTCAGTACAATAACATTTTTTTTAGTATTTGAATTAGGTTTGTTTGCAATTATCCACATTTTGGTTAAACTCTAGAACCTAAAAAGTGGTTATGTATAGAAAAGGAAAATGTGTAAGCTCTGATTTGTGAATACTACATCAATAGACAGATTTTCACAAAAATGTAATAGTTTATAATCCAACCACTTTTGGTAAGTTTATCTGTAATATGTAGAAAGAGAAAGTAGTTTCAATTATGGTTTACCATCTATTTGGGCTAGTAAAAAGCAAATGGAACATTTGAATACCCAACATTTTTGTTCCATTTGTTTGCCAGATGTAGGCTTAATTATCAGAAATTAGTGTTAAGATTATTTTTAAATTAAGTTTAAACTCTAAAGGCCCTATCGTGAACCCATGTTAACATTGTTTATTTGTCAACAGCTACCAGCCAGCTCCATTTTTTGTCCTGGACGAGATAGACGCTGCTCTTGACAACACCAACATCGGCAAAGTCGCTTCATACATTCACGACAAGACAACGTCTCTCCAGACAATCGTTATTTCTCTTAAAGAGGAATTTTTCAGTCATGCTGATGCTCTCATCGGCATTTGTCCCAATGTAAGTGACGGATACAACATTTAACAAAAGCCATATAGTAAACAACACTCATTACTGTTTAATTTTAGTTAAAATAAATATCAATGTATTTATGAGATCTTTCAACAGATTTGATTTACATTACCAACAATTTGTTCTGATGGAACAACTAGTTGTTTGATTGTCCCAATGTTTGTGGAAAATATCCAGGTGTTAGCAAATTTCCCCAAACAGGAAGTAAATAAACCATAAGATAAGGCCAATCAATTTGTGGGGCTGTTATACATTTTAATTTAGACTAGAGGTAGGCCTACATATATTCCTACTAAATGCCATTAAACAAGTGTTTTTAGAATCTGTAAGACATTGCATGTGGAATTGTTGTGTGTAGAATTGTATTTAGCATACATTATTTAATACACACTTAACAACTAGCAACATTGTAAATTTTGTATATTTTCAGGCTGGTGAATGTTTAATCAGCAGAGTTATAACATTGGACCTTTCACAATACACCCAAGTACCAATGACTTAAGGTAACCAACTAGCTCAAGGTATATGTTTAAATAAAAACAAAACTGATTATCTTGAAAATTAAATGTGCATGTATTTTTCCTTTGTGGGATTCATTCACTTCAAGGTCAAGATAGTTTCTTTGTCTTGATCTCACTTAACTTTGAATGAACCTAGGTAGCAACGTTCTATACTCAATAGTTTTTTGACTAGTAGTGATTATTGGTTTGATTAAGGAATAACAGATAATCAGAGTCTTACAAATGAAGCACAAAATCAACAAGTGCTGTCTTATTGTTTTTTCTTCAAAAATTAATTTACTTGCACACATTAGAGGCAAAGCATTAACATCTTGTTGTCTAAAATTAAAAGCCGTGAGAAGATATTTTAGTTCCAATTTTATCAAGTTTTTTTTGCTGTAATTTATGTTTTGAAAATGTTATCAATGGTAACACTTTTAGAGATAAGTTACTCATTGTTGAATATAAAATAATTTTTTAAACAATATTTCTCTGCTTTATATTACTGTTATGGACAGAAAAAAACTATAAGTCTAATTAGTTTTGTTTAAGGAAAGGCTCTAGGCCAGGATTTTAAATGGTAGAAAAAGGAGGATAGCAGCTAGCTTACCTTGAAAGTGTGGGTAGGCCATAGAACAAGTAGAAAAATATATTGCACACAATATTTCGTCCCCTAAGGGACTTTGTCAAGTGTCTTGACAAAGTCCACACTTGACACTTGACAAAGTCCCTTAGGGGACGAAATATTGTGTGCAATATATTTTTCTACTTGTTCTATGGCCTACCCACACTTTCAAGGTAAGCTAGCTGCTATCCTCCTTTTTCTACCATTTATAAGTCTAATTAGGCAGTACTGTAGAACATAGCCTAAAAAGTTAGAAATAATGTTTATTTAAACACACTTTCCTTAAGGGTGCGCTCTACCCGTCTGGCGCGCGCAAATGTAAGGGTTTTAGTTCTTCCTGATTGTAGCCCCAATTGTGAACCGATTTAAAAGATCTTGGTGTCATATTTTCCGTCAAATGTTATTGTAGGTTTCCCGTTTTTTTAAATTTTGATAATTTAAAAAATTTTGGGCTCAAAGGTTGGTGAAAAATGTAAAAAGAGGCGTTCTTTATCATGAGTTTTAATACATAAAAATAATTTTTAGAGAAAAAATAAAAAACGGGAGACGTGCAATAGATTCTTAAAAACAAGAATCTGGAATTAGTTTACTAAAAAGTTGAATGCTAATTATGTAATCAAGCAGACTCGAAAGGCTTGCAAGCGCTCTTCAAGGCGCCGTGCAGTGGCGCGGCCATGCGGCCAACGGCTCAACCTGTCGTCGGCTCTCCCACCACAGCCATCGATCGATATTTCCCCTCCTCTCGGTTGATTCTATTCTATCTTTGCGTCGTCGCCGTTTTTACGCATACTAGTGTCCCTGCAGCTCGGATTAATTGTCACAAAAAACCTGCTTGCGTATTAAATAAGTAAATAGATGAGTATACTGTCCTCTTTGTAAACAGTTATACTCAGCCAACGCAACTTGCTTGCACAGATTCAGCTTTAATACTTTACCAAAATATAAGTTTGTTTATTAACGTCGGGTATGAGATTGCTCTAATAACAACCATAATAAAGAGTTTTTTTTAGAAAACCAGTACTCAATAGTACTGTTTTATTAAAACAGCATTTTTAAATTTTTGTAATTAACCCCTCCAAGTTGGGGACTTGAATCTGATACCTCAAATGTTCTAGCTAGACTATTGACCACTCAGCCATTCAACTTCAAGTTAAAAACCACTACAAGTCATAACTCGGATCTACAAATAAAATACCCTGTCGCAGCAAAACTATTCACAAAGCAAATTTCAACTTGTATGATTAAAGTATTTTTACTAAAATACTTCCAGAAATAAGACAAACTTATTCCTATTTAAATAACATTAGATTTAACGAGTGCTTAGGTGTGCTGCTACGGGGAAGGTAAAAAGTGTTTCTTGACCATACGTCAGTATACTGAAATTAATGAATTTGCCAAATTTTATCAACATACAGTGTATCCATAAACAAGTAAATTAAAACGGTTATAATTTTCTCCATAAGAATAACATGGTAATTTTTAACAACACTTTTTTCAATTTTCTTCCTGACCGTAGGCATACAACAGCGCTTCAATATACTAAATTACTCTGCACCGAGGGGTTTTAAGTGGCTAAGGCCTTATACTGCTCTACTAGGCTACAACCTCAAAATCCCATCCCCATCCCCAAAACCATGGCGCAGAGCCGTCTGCGCATGCGCGCGCGCGGGAAGATGACAACTGAGGCGACTACCTAGGCGACTACCACGACCACGTGTTTCTCACTCGCTTGCACACTTGCACTGATTTTCACCGTGTTTTGAGTGTTTTGGTCTTTATTGTCATTTCTCGTGTGCTTCAAGATGCCCAATCCTAGGACAAGAAAAAAGAAAAAACTTAATTTAAGTGCCAGAAGGTTGAAGAACAAGGGGAGTGAAAGTTTACATCGTTGGCGGGAATTACAGAAAAATAAGGACGAGAATAGGTAACGTATGATGAGAGTTATTTAAGTTAGAAGTACATAATATTATTGTAGAATTAAATACCCAAATATTACTTATTACTTATTTGTTGGTACTGGGGTAGGCTACTACAATCAAGTAAGGATAGGCCTACAGGTTTTTTTTTATTCCTACTACTGCTGTATGAGGAAAGTGTGAGTAAAGATCACAGTAAGCATAAATTCATTGATATTATAGCCACTTTACAGCTAACTGGCTGAGTAGCCTAAAACATTGCTAAAATATAGAGATCTACATAAACTGCTAGGTAAGTACAGACAGGTAATTATTAGTTGTCTATTAGTAAACTATTTTGTATAGACTCCGCCTCATTTTCACCTGAGGTTCTTTAGTGCTTTTTTCTAAGTAGCAATGTAGGTTTTCCTACAGTTTGTGGTTAGGAAAAATAGTTATACTTGTATAAAAAAATAGTTATAAAAATAGTTATAAATAAAAATATAAATGCCTCAAATTCAATTTCATTGTTTTGTATTATAAAAACTAACATAACCTAACCGAAACAAACTTGCTGATAATTAAATAATATAACAAAAGTTTAGTAACAGAAAAAATAATTCTGTTTATTAAATAAAAATAAAAATAAAAAAATAAATAATTAGGTTGGCTTACTACTAATTTTGTGTAAATGGTAGGTATTTTTCAAAGTTATCTTAATTTCAAGTTTTATTTTTTTTTTATACATTTTCACACAAACTAAAAAATCTTATTTCATATTTCAGCATGATCACTCCTAGTAATAATTCACCCGAAACTGAACAAAATGAGATCCATTGCAGTACTCCGAAGAATAAAGAAGCAAATGAAGCATTGGATGACAATGTCACTCCTATGGACATTTCAAGTGACAGTGATGATGATTGGCTGGCTGGAATTGAACTAATCCCTGCTGGAATAGAAGAGTCCAGGTACATTGTTCTAAAATGATGTTTTCCTCTAAAATAATTTTTTGCCCTTCATCAATTAGTTTAAGAAATATATATATATCAATAAAATACGACTCTCTTCCACAAACAGAGGTATTCCTTCTTTGTGGAAGATATTTTGCTAATTTAAATCATGTTCATATTTTTATGCTTATATTAAGTTAATATACCTATTACTACAAAACTAAACAATATTGTCAAGATTTTTGTATGGGACTAATATGATGTAATTTGTAAATATTTTGGCGGAATAAACGCTATTTTGATTTGATTAGACATTCAGACATAACCAGTGATTTATAATATAATTGACATTTAATTTAATCTAAATTCATTAAACTGTGATTATTAACGTTTCTTACAATAATTAATGGGTTGTAATCATTGACAATAGATTAACGTTTGGTTGCAGAAATGAAGATAACGACGATGTAAGTTCCAAAGAAATACCTTTATGTGGAAGAAGAATAGTTAACGTTCCCCACTTCATAAAATCATTGCAATCACTTGAAAATCATGAACCATTCAATTGCAAGTTTTCGGACATGTGTTTGATTAAAGATAGACAAATTGGCCTAATTGATGAGTTGACATTTGAATGCAAGCTTTGTCGAAAAATTGAAAAAATTTCGACAGACTTGTTACCTAATGCACAAAACGTTGTGAATCTCAATACTTTGATGGTAAGTACTGGTTATCAACACTTTTGTAGTAATGCAAATATAGCTTACATTAGCGCCGTGTTCGGTACGTCGTCGTGCATACCACGGCCTCCGCCGTTGACTACAGTTCTCGCAGCTAGTCTGGGCGCGCGGCCGCGCTAGGGCAGGGGGTGTAGAGGGGAGTGTTTATTGCACATTTCCAAAAACATTGGGCCCACACGGCACACTGGGGTTGTTCAGCGCCTCACTGCTGTCTTCTTGGCTTTGGCGTGGGGGACGGTTAGTACACAAGGGTACCATCCGTCCCACCGCTAGCAGCGCCCAGACTAGCTGCGACAACTGTACATGATCTCCGCCGAGCTCAAGACAGAAATTATTGATTTAAAAAAAGTGTTTTTTTTTTTGGTTAAATTGAAATATGTAGCATCGGATATTCATATTTGTTCGCAATAATCCCCAGTTTTGCAATAGGTTGACAAGTACATTGTCTGGACTATTGTAGCGCTCTTGAGTTTTATTTTCCAACACAGGTTTTTTTCTATCAGAAAAATACAAATTTTATATCCAAATGCCTTTTTATGTGCATGGCCAACTTTTTTAAGTCACCAAACACAAAGATGACTCATTAGGCCTTTTTTTAAATATTTTTCAGGTTGAAGGAATGACAAATATTGGTCAAGGGTACAATCAGCTGGAGGAGCTATGTTGCAATCTGGACATGCCATGTATGTCCATCCAGACTTACCACAAACACCAGCAGTTACTCTATCAAACAGTGCATGAATGCTCTTGGGAGAGTATGTCAGAAGCAGCTAAAGAGGAAGCTGAACTA